TTTCCCTATTAATGTTCTGTAATTGTATATACTTCATACTCCTCCTTTAAGTGTCCTATACTCTTTTTCAAGCTTGGATACAACAGTCTTCTAACAGGTCTGAATAGAGGGATTTCACTTTGTGTGTCTATATCCTAGCACATGCTTATGTTTACTTCAGTGTACTGAGCAGTTTTGATCACTGGACATTTGGGGCCTTTTTAGTTTAAATGGAAAAAACTAGAGACTGCATGAAATGAAGCCCCATAGCATTAACATTTAAAGCTAACTATAATGTAAAGTACAAAGTACAGTTTTGCAACAACGTAGAGCATTCATCCTGAATAAGTCTACTTACTTTTTCTGCATGACGACATATTTAAAAGCTAAATTTCAGTAGCAACGTTTTTTGGTGACAATTCAATATTTTGTTCTTTTTGTGGGTGTTCTGTTTGTTTGCAGTCAGATGAGTGAGCCTCATAGCGGTTTGACGCTCAAATGTGCCAAGTGTGGAGTAGTTTCAACAACAGCTTTGTCAGCCACCACCGCCAGTAATGCCATGTTAGTCCTGATCATTTACATCTTCTTGTTACAAACTTATACAGTGCATGTGAGACAATAGTTTGATGATGACAACTGTGTTTGCTAACACTGTATAAAGTGCTGAGCACGTTTAAATATTTTTTAACAAAAACAAAATTACAACCGTGTTTATTAACTGAATATAGGATATTCTTTAGAACATAAAGTACAACACTGTTACATTCTTCTTTGTGATTTTCAAGTTAAATTGATAAAGTGCCATCCTTAAATATGTTTTATTTTAATAGTGAGCTTTTAATAATTTTTTTTTACAACAATGCTGCTTTTCTCTTTTTTTTTTTAATAGGGCATCCCTTTGGAGTTCCTGTGTGGTGTTGCCACTTCTAGCTCTGACTTGGATGTCTGCAGTTCTGGCCATGACAGACAAAAGATCCATATTATTTCAGATACTTTTTGCAGTATTTGATTCATTACAAGGCTTTGTTATTGTCATGGTCCATTGTATTCTCCGAAGGGAGGTGAGGAATGGCTTCTCAGTTTTCTAAAGGGCTGTGCTCCTGTTAATCTCTCAACTGCTCTTTAATGTCATATATAGCTTGCTCTGCGGAAATATATTTCATAGAAAGAGAAAAGTATTTTGTGTTGAGATGTAGAGGAGTAAGTGATAGAGAAAGGAGAAAGATCAGATAATTCCAGGCTCAGAATGTCAGTTTCAGTATAAAACGTACCCGCTTGATTAAAGGTGGCTTTTAATGAAACCCAAGTTCAGGCTTTCACAGTATTGTGTATATAGGCAAATGCCTACATTCTTATTGAAATAGGATTGAGAGCGATAACACATCAGCTTTGCTGGCAGATCTGTGGTAGTGGGATTGTCAAAAATGAGCAGGCGGGGCTGGACTGGAGAGCATGAAGTATTTCACATTAGCCGTTTATCAACTTTAGGATATTTACAGCACCGGTAAACCAAATTACATGATTCCCTATGATTGGCAAGAGTTATTCAAAAGCATTTCTGGACTAAAAGAACAGTAACATGTTTCAAGAAAAGTTTATTGTCAACACTGAGTGAGCAAAACACTTGAGAAACTAATTAAGGTGGGTTTTTTTTCATATGGGAAAATAAAATGAATAAAAAGTACTTTAAGAACAGCAAATAAGAAAAAACAGATGCACTTGAAGCACCTTTTGTTTCAAAAGTCTGTATGGTCTGTGCTTTTATGGACCAGTTCACAGCAGCAAAACCATAACTGTTTACTGCAGCAAGTTGCTGTACAGAAAGAGACATAGATCCAGTTGTAACAGTCTGGCTCTAAAAAGTATGGCTTTCTAGCTCCAGAGACCCTTAGGTGAGTACAAGCCAAGGTAGAGGCCATCATGCACAATGTGCAATGCAGACTTTGCACTGTACAGGGTACCTCCTTGATGAAAGAAAAGTCTGTTGGTTTCAGTTGTCTGCAAAAGCATTTAGCTCTGACAGTCCCTGTCAGGGAAATCACTGCCAACATGTTTGTCACTCTTGACGACAGCTACAAAGCTATCTCAGTTATAGCCTATAGGATTGATCTAACATTTATAGCATGCCAGCACAGGCAAAACAATAATTCTGACTGTCAGGAGGAAAAGTATGAGGTGGAGTATATCACCATAGAACTCAAACAAAGAAGAGGACAGCTCTGCTTTATTATGCTTTCATAGTTCTTACATTACAAAAAGATACAGACTTTCACAATTACATACATAAAACTCCTGGTTTTCCTCTTAGTTCTATTGATATAAACATAAATGATTGATAGAAACATTTTTCACTTTCTCTAGTATACTATATCAAAGATTTTGTGTGACAAGGAAGCCAGAGACGTTTACTGAGTAAGAGATACAACTAGTAAGACATTTAACTAGAAGGGAACTAAGTGATTTGTTGTGTCTCTTTCTGCCCTCTGTCCATTCAGGGTCTTTCGGAAAGACATTCAATCTTTCTATACTTGCATATCCTAACTTCTAAGACAAATATTAAAAAATGTAATGCTTCTTAATCATGAGATCTTACAGACCATGCGAAAATTAGGAAAGAAAAATGCAAAATAAGAGTTAGGTATTATTGCGTTATGTTGCCTTCTTAGTCTAGAGAGCCTAGTATTCTTTTTCCCTCTCCTTCCTGTTTATATACCTAATTGGGCATCAGAAGATGGTAAGGTATGTGTCACAGTACCTTCACAGTACATTCACAGAGAATGATAGGAGAGATTAGGATTGAAGCTTCTTCATCAGAGTTAAATGGTTTGCCTGACCTGCTTGAGCATGAGATGCTCTAAAACTAATTTGAATCACACTGAGTAACTCCTGTTAATGCTGGAAATGGGAGGAACCCACATTTATTTTCTTCTTTTGCTGTGCTCTGCTGACTAGAGAACGTTTGGGTTAAATGCATCATTGGCATCTGAAGCCCACATTTCTGTATTACAAGAGAAAAATAGAGTACATGAGTACAGAGAGGGTAAGTTATAAAAGCTTGGAGTTGGTTACTGTTGCTAAGGAAACCACTTCCTTGGTAATCGCACGTTCATCACATCTGTCTCTGCTGCTCTGCCTGGCTCTAAGAAAATCTTGTAACTTGATGTTAAAAGGCAGGAGGGAAAAACAAGCTTCTGTTTCAAAGTAAAATGTAAAGACAGCACAGTCTTTACATAAACAACAAGGTTGAAAAAGCAGCTTAGAAAAATAAGCTGGTATTCAGAAAGTTCAAGCTTTTTGTTTCTGACTTGTGTGAGGACACCTAGAAGTTGCAACATACGTCGATATGATGGATACAGCTACATTTGGCATTCTGTTAACATGTTAAATTCATCTGCTTGTACTTCAGAAACATTGTAAGAAACATGCACATTAAAGAATACCCTAAAATCAAGATTCACTGCTTTAATATAGAAGGTAGTGAAAATAGGACATGACATTCTTGAGATCTCTGAAGAGATCAGAACTGAGGAGGCTTCATGAACATAGAGTCCCACACATATGGAGGCCCACTGCACACAGTATGTTCTGAAGTAATAATGCTTTGGGGTCAAGCTTACAATGAGATTCAACACATGTGGGAATGCTATGGAAGTAAGGATTTTTTTTTGTTTTTTTAATCAGATCACTGTGCCAGTGCTTCTCTGACAGCATAAGACTCTGAATTGTGACCTGACTTCAGCACTGATAAAGTGAGAGAAGACTTAGATTAAATTTGTAGCAACCAGGAGATGCCAAACTAAATTAACCTCAAACATGTGGAAAAACACAGCAAGGGTAGTGCCTAAAATCAGAATCTGAGTCATGATACAGGTCAAGCACACTTTACATGACCACATTTGGGAAGTTGTGGTGTTTTGAAATCAGTCCAAACATTCTCACCTTGCTTCATTCTTATTCCTGCTTTATATTAGTCTTCCTCGACCTGCAATAGTCACTTACCAAGACTGCAGAACACTCTTACTCATTTAAGGGTTGAGCACATTAAAATAATGCTTTCTAATGACTTTTTTTATTTCTATTTATTTATTTCAGTTTTCCTTTTGTGAAAGCTCTTAACAGCTTGCAAGAGAATATGATGTATCGAAAGCGGACAGCTTTTCACCAGCAACAATTAATGATTTATCCTTTTCTGCTGTTCACAAAATGTCCATGAGTAGAATACGATTTTCTCCCTTTTAATTATTCTCAATAAGATATCAAGTAATTTCTACATATAGATAAAGATAATGGAATAAAGATTTTTGTAGGCATTTTATTGAAAGTACTTTCATATTCAAACAAGAAATGATACTTGTTTTGATAGGGGGTCACCCAACCATGTTCCTGTTTCCCAAGTCACATCTTGCCGCCAGGTTGCTAATAGGGATACTTGCATTTCTAGAACAACAACAAAAAAAAACAAAACAAAAAAAATTAAAGCCTTCCATTCCAAAAAGTGCCTTGCTGTCCTTTCTGTGGTATGTGTGAGAAAGCAGCAAAATATTGTTTACATTCTACTGTCAGCAAACAGGAACTGATTTTTCTTTTGAATGTGCCTCTCTATTGAATCACATCTTTCTGACAAAAGTATTAAAATTTCTTTAGACATGCATTCTGCCCAAAATCAAAGTAAAAATAGACTTTCTATGAAAAGATAATTCCTCAAATATACCTGTGTTTTAGGGACAAGTCTTCAAATGTACTTTATGGATCATACTAGTAAACAGCAATTTCTGTGAAGTTTTTTTTTTTTAGTTTTGAGAAACCAGACTCTGTGCAAACAGTCCACTTTTCTTCTTCTTGTGCTCACATTGAAGATACTTACCTGATCTGAAGACTTTTACTCTTAGAAGAAAATCTTGAGTTTCCTTATGAAAGGAATTGCAGAAATTTTGATTGGAATCAATAACTTCTTTCAAATTGACTTATTCTTTGAAGTGTAATTAAGAAAGCACTATGTATCTGATAATAGTAACTATTAAGAACTGTCTTTCAAGAATCTTACATTTATTAAGCAGAAGATATATTCTATTTTGCAATGCTTAATAGTATATCTACTAATCCTGCTATCAGACCTGTGCCAAACTGAATGAGAAGACAAAAACAAATACTATCACCAAAGACAGATTTGGTTTGAGTACCAGATCATCACTGACTAGTAGTTAATACTGTCCCCTGGCAAACCTAATTCTGTGGTCTTAATGTGATAGACTGACAGATTTTGCAGCAGCCACACAGTATAGAAAGTGTATGAACTGGCAGGAATAGGCATTTATGTTTACTGCTTCTGCTTTATTAAATATGCCAAAGCAAAGTCATGCATTGTATTCCTTACAGTTTAATTTATTCTTTAATAGGAGTAGAGTGTGTGATGTTGCACAAGAATCAGTGTAAGATATTGTTTTCACAGGTTCAAGACGCATTTAGATGTCGACTGAGAAATTGCCAGGATCCAATCAATGCAGATTCTTCAAGTTCTTTTCCTAACGGACATGCTCAAATCATGGTTAGCTTTTATTTCTTCTTTGGCTATTAATTTAGTGTTCCTATGCAAAAGAAAAAAACTCTATTGTATGTGGCAAGCACGTACAATACAGTGCACAATATGCACAGCTTAAATATTAGAGCCACTTTTAAGCATGATTATCTTTAGGTCATTATCTACTTGCTTAAATCTCTTAGCAAATTTTAAATTATTGGTGTGATCATTTAGTGAAGGACAGTGAATTCCACCACTGTTCTTTATGACAAAAAATTCTTACATAAGAAAATGAGAAAGTAATCTAAATATATCATGACTTTTTCTACTGTTGCTGTAAAGAGAACTGATGCATTTCAGAGTTTTCCCTTCATTAGGCCTGGAAAAATGTTCCTCTCAAACTAAGTCGGACAAGGAGAAAGTGGTAGAGATTCTAGAGGGGGAATCTATTTAGTGGCTTCAATTAAGGAGATGATAGTGAATGGCTCAGTATGCCAGTTTGGATTTACTAATATTGTTAAGTAGTACACTAAGGCAACATATTTGTTCCTTCAATTTCAGTGACAGTCTGTCATTGACTATAATGGGGACAGGATCAGGCCCTAAAAAATACAAGGCTCAGCAAAATGATGAGGCTTCTTCAAAAATCATGTCACAAATAGAGTCCATTCTTTGGACTTCACAAGGAGAAAAGAGATCGGTTTTATTAAACATTTTTCATGTAATAAACATATTGTGGAAATAAAAACATTATTAAAACTTACTTGAATTCACTAACAGGATAAACAGTATTGTTCAACTGGGAAAAGTGTGCTTGGATTTTCAACGGTTAAAAATGATTCCTAGCTCTTACGATTCATTTTTGCCTAATAAAATAAACAATAGTTGTTTTCAGAGAGTACAAGGTTTATGTGATTACATTAGTAGCAAGACTGGACAGAATGTTATGTAACAAATAACCACTTCATAACAAATTAATCAAGTTTCAGATAGGGTGGACTGATTGGCTTGCACTTATTCACAGTAATTTGTATTGCAGAATATTTTCCATACTTTTTATAAAATTGCTATGAAAAGCTTCCTTAAAGATGATCCTTCAATGAGATGTAGAAGTTACTCTTCCATATACATAAAAATCTATACACTGTATCGTTTTATTAAAATTATATACTCTACTTCCACCTATTTTATTTTATTTTTTCTGGTCAGGCAGCATACTTTGAAAACCACCCAGTTATACTTTAGGAAACTTTGTAAAGCTCTGCTGTTGTAAAACAATACACCTTCTCAGCAACAAGAAACCACTTTTAAGAGACTATGACTCTGTAAGTAGGACATTTTGGAAGCACTAGTTGGCAAAAAGATGTTGTGGTTTAGTTTTCAATTAATAATGGTTGACCTGTTCCATTGTTTCTTGTTACAGACCGATTTTGAAAAGGACGTGGACATTGCTTGTCGGTCAGGTAAGAACATCAAGAGAGTATTTAGCCAGCACGAAGAAGTCTTGTACTAGTTCCTTGTGAAGTGAAAACTAGAAAACTATCAGGGCTTAATTGTTTACGATGCATATTTATAAATGTAAGGAGAAAAGTGATACTACTGTATAAATACATCTATTTCATTTTCTTACAAAAGCCTTCTAGAATTCAGCAGCTGGGAAGTAATTATCTATTAGAAAGCAAATGGATAAAAGATCAGTCTTAACACACAAAACTTTCCTTGCTCTGCTACACAAGCTAATGTGAAACGGTCATTTTGCTATTTTTAAAAAAATCTACATAGTGTATCTTAACAGCTATGTGTATAAAGGATACATCAATTCGTGTTAGTTTTTAAAAGGGTAAGTTTTTTAACACTCTAAGTGAAATCAACAGTAGGTTAACATGGTACCAGGAAAATGAAATTTGATTCCACTTTACTGGAACAAGTTGGGGTCTTTTAAGACGTGTCAGTAGTGTAATCTTTACTTAGTCAGCTATGTCTGTTTCCACATATCAAAAATAACACATTTTAAACAACTTGTTTTCCAACCTTGCTTAAATAAAGTACAGGACAAAATAAATGACCATTTCAATGCTATAGAATTTTTTAAATCTAGATAGTATTCCCAAAGGACAGTTTTTCCTAGGGAGGCAATCCTACATAGACACCCTTAGTTTTGAATGAAGAGAAAAAGAAAGAGGGGGTGGCCCTCGCCATAGAGTGAGTCAGAGCAGAAGCTGATCTGCATCACCTGCTTGAAGCACACTCTCTCCTCACTGGCTATATGAGGAGCCAAGAAGGCTGATGTCATTAAGGTAAAGTTTGAATTTCCAATCACCCACATTTAAAAAACTGCCACTTCTTCTTGAAATATGGTAATAGTTCTTCCATATAGGTTAGTTTTAATATGCACACGTATTTTGAAGGGACCAGGATAGTACACTGCAACAGTATTACATGCCTGTCAACATCCAATGCAAGTGCAAATCCAGCACTGGTTCATGTAGCTCCTGCTTCTTACCTTTGCCAACATATCTCTGCAGTATGGAGAACCTTGCCAACGGCATCCTTAAGAGGATAGACTTTGAATGCAGTTATGAACAGGCTTTACTAGACAAACGTTTAACCTCGATTTCTTTTAGTAAAGGATTTAAGAGTAGATCACTTAAGTGTCTTAACAAGTGTGACTGGAAACAATGGAGCAGCCACACTGAAGTCAGGTATTTTTGTTTAGAGGCAAATTGTTCTTTTCATAATGGAAAAATGAGAGGTGGTTTTGTGTGAGGTAGGAGAGTGGGATGCCTCATGAGCTGCTTGCTATAGAATATGGCACTAAGCTGACAAGTACTGGGGGATCTGGGTCATGAGAGCCCTAAGGCTACCAAAAGGGGTGTAAATGTAATACCTGAGATACTTCAAGTTGTCTTACTGTCTCAGCCCGTGAGCTGGATTTTATTGCACAAAGTAGCACTGGTATGAATTAAAATATTTTCAACTGGGACAAAAAAGTCCTTGGATTTTTTTCCCAATGTAGTTACTTTTTTGTCACTTTTATAAAAAATAATAATAATTTAACACAGTATGATTTTTAAAGTCATTAAAAAGGAACATTCAGGAGCTCAGAAACACATGTTCATGGTTATAATCTTATGGTAGGTCCTTACAGTGGATTGACAAAATTGTTCTGCCTTACAATCTGTTTGACATTGGAGGAGGTTATGTGGAGTTAATAATGGCAGTACAGATGTCATAGTGGGTTTTGGGGTTTTTTTTTTAATTCTTAATCAGGTTCCACATGGCAGGCTTTTGTTTAAGCTGTAGGTCACCTAAGATCTATATAAGGCAGTAGGAATAAATGAAGGAGTGCTTTCTACTTATGTAAATGATGGAGGCTTAGTCAGAGATCTATGTCAGTTATACTGTGTAGATTAAGAGATGTTGATCTGAAAAAGAAAAAAACAAACAAAACAAACAAAGGACAACAAAACCAAACCTTCCCATAACAATGTTTATGGAATAAAAGTTACTAAATGGACAGAAAATAAGTTTAAGAACATGCACTGGTAAAGGGAGTGCTGCTAAATAAAGCCACAAGAAAAAGTAATGTTAGGCAGACATGGTTTCATGTTGTAATAATTCTGTTCTCTGACCCACAGTTCTGCATAAAGACATTGGACCTTGCAGAGCAGCTACTATAACAGGAACACTTTCTAGAATTTCACTAAATGATGAAGAGGAAGAGAAGGGACCAAACCCTGAAGGAATGAGCTATTCTACCTTGCCTGGAAACATCATCTCCAAAGTCATCATCCAGCAACCAACAGGTCTCCATATGCCTATGAGTATGAGTGAACTGGCCAATCAGTGCTTGAAAAAAGACAACAGTGAGTTGCGGAGGACTGTGTATTTATGCACTGATGATAATTTGAGAGGTGCAGATATGGACATAGTCCATCCTCAAGAGCGGATGATAGAAAGCGACTATATAGTCATGCCCCGGGGCTCAGTAAATACCCAGACATCGCTGAAAGATGAGAGCAAAATGAATATAGGCATGGATACATTGCCTCATGAAAGGCTGTTGCACTACAAAGTTAATCCAGAGTTCAATATGAATCCTTCTGTAATGGACCAATTTAATATCAATTTAGACCAGCACCTTCCTACCCAAGAACATATGCAGAATTTACCATTTGAGCCCCGCACAGCAGTGAAGAATTTCATTGCATCTGAGCTAGATGACAATACAGGATTATCAAGAAGTGAAACTGGATCCACAATATCAATGAGCTCTTTAGAGGTCAGTGATGCATAAACAAATTGCATGCTCTGTTGTTCTAATTATTTTATAAGACAATAAACTGTGTCTTTTGTCTAAGGGGTGAAGCTAATGTTTTAATTCAGTATAAATTATTGTTTGGGATCATACACTGCTGTTCATATTTCTCTTATTATCAGAAGTGTTTATACCTAGAAAACAAGATTAAATTTTCCGAGCCAGTCTGTAGGAAACTCTATAGTCCTGGAGATTTAACATTCCACACGACTGCAAAGGATTTCGTGACCTACCAGGTAAAGTTCACTGGAAAATACTGTGTTGCTATGAGAAGAAAAACTATTTCTGCAAGATATATGTGATAATCACTGACCCTACCTGCAAGCACATGCAGTTGAAAATATTTGCCATTTTATTGCTGACAATCATATCTCTCTCAGATATGATAGGTCTGATTTTGCTCTCACTCGTGTAAATCTTGGATTCTTCCATCCAATAATTTACCATTTACTGATTAAATATTGTTTGCATGTGGGTGCAGGCATTGGTACAACTGATGTGTGCAATAGGTACAAGTGGACTTCATATCCTAGATTCCAGCCAGATTGAAAAACCTTTGAAAGGGTTACAGTTCATTACTACAATCTCTCTGTTGAATTTAAATACTATAAAAGTGAAAACAATTCACATTGTTTCTTCAGACCTAAGTGTCAAATACTGCCATTCCTATTCAGCTTTTACTTATGCAAAACCACCAGTGAGGTGGAATTAATTTCATACTTAGGCCTCCTTAAGAATTGGAAATACATTTCACCAGCATTTGGAGGGAAAGAAAAAGACAAATGAAAAAAATATGGAATATACTCATCCCTGAAAGAACTTACAGATGAAAAAAAATTCTACTGTATATGCAAACGTGATGCCCATAGCTGTTACTCAATAATGTTTGGACCC